CCACGCCGGAGCCTGAGGAGTCTACGCCCGAGTCTACGCCCGAGTCTACCCTAGAGCCTACGCCAGACTCTACGCTAGAGCCGACGCCAGAGCCGACGCCAGAGCCCACGCCAGAGCCCACGCCAGAGCCTGAGGAGTCTACGCCCGAGTCTACCCCAGAACCCACGCCAGAGCCCACGCCGGAGCCTGAGGAGTCTACGCCCGAGTCTACGCCCGAGTCTACCCTAGAGCCTACGCCAGACTCTACGCTAGACCCTACGCCAGACCCTACGCCAGACCCTACGCCAGACCCTACGCCAGACCCTACTCCAGATTCTGACCTAGATATCCTTACTATAGCGCCTGGATCTGGAGATAGTTATCTAGAGTATATTAGTCCGACACCACAACCGACGCCAGAACCGACGCCAGAACCAACACCAGAACCGACGCCAGAATCAACACCAGAACCAACACCAGAACCGACGCCAGAATCAACACCAGAACCAACACCAGAACCTACTTCAGGGCCTGATCAACATTCCGCTTCCCGACCTGAAAACAACGACGATACTACAACTTCCTCGGCTAGCCCAGCTAGCCCAAATTGCAACGGGCTATGCGACCTCACGTCAGTCTCCTGGGAAGATCGATTATACTGGCGAAAGTGGCACGGATGCTGGGTTTCGAACAATAACTGGCCATGGGAGGAAGTTGAGTTCTATTCTGCAGACACTTCTGACTGCGATGCAATCAAACAATGCGCCGCGTTCACAACAGAACTTGGGAAACAGTCGTTCCAAGTTTTCTTTGTGCCCAAGCTCAATCGATGGCATTGCGATTGTAGCTCCTACGAAGCCAATCAGCCTGCGGAAAATTATGTGTACAACGGCGATCTTGCACGTTACTACATGTACGACGGGGCGTACATGAATAAAATATGAGAGAAAGGCTTCATCGCAAGATTCCCCTAGATTACACAATTTAATGGTACATGCTAGGTAGTATTGCATTTGTGACATACTCCGTACATACAAAGTGGCTCGTCATGGCTATTGCATCTAGCGCACGAAGACCAAAACAGTGTCACTGCGCAATGTATCCACTTCACAGGAGTCGAGACCATTCTATAACTCTTTGATGACCATGCTAATGCGTGGGGCATGAATCGGATGATCGACTGACGCGCAGTGTTACGCGAGGCTAAAGATGCTCAAGACCTCGACCGACTTGTTTGTCCACAAAGATATCTGTATTCCTCCTTTCTTGCTGTCTCTTTCAAGCCACGTTTCAATAGCTCGACCACTGACCACATCAGCCGAAGCAATTCAAGTACTTGATTAGGACGTTCCGTTCAGCCACAAGTAGTTTGACCAAAAATCACAACCCGCAAGATTGGTGACGGCTGATTCTGCATCTGTCAACAATACTAGATTGGTGGTGTATTTTGTACGAAATACTTCCCCTTGCCAACAGAGTGGCATAGAGCGCCTTGTTATTGATATAGATATTAATACAATAAGAACTGTTCAGTCGATGCCTAATAGCATTTCCTAGCATCACTTAGCAGTCGCTTTCCTCCTTGAGGTGACATCAAGATTAACAAGCTCAATTACATTGTGATACCTTCATCCATCATGGCAAACATCGTTGATGCCCACGCTGATTCTCGCCGATCTCCTTCCGACGCCGATGGTGACTTGGTTCAGTCGCCAATAACCTCGTCGACTCCGAACACGCCGGTTGATGCCATTTTCGATAGCACACATCGCAATAACCTCGCGTTCCTTGAGCACGACCCATATGCTTATAATGATGAAGACGAAACTACTTTCAACAAGAACAAGCCAATCCTACTATCATCACAATCCGAGGACAACAAAAGCTTCATGTCCAGCAAGTCAATGAAATCGATTAGGCGCAAGCTGTCCACTCTGAAGAGAATCGCTACACGAAGACGGTCAAAGAAGGACCAGGCTTGGACAGGGGCACAACAAAGCCCTGCCACGCCAGATGTCACGGGAGAAGACTGGCAGCCCATGACCCAACCAAGTCGTGCAGGGACCTTCTATCATGGAGCTGGGATTTTTCGCCCACCACAGCGAGTCGAGACTTATCAAGTCTCTGCAATGGCAATTTAGAGCCAACATGAAGTTCACGGGCGGATCAACGGGGTTAGTTGCTAAGGCGTGCATCGTCTTCCCTTTCGAGCAGACTTTTCTCGCGTGTGGTGCGCTAGAAGGAGTTGTTAAGCAGTTTTTATCGTCAGTTCAATCAAGGTTCAGTTGTTGTGGTGAAAGTTCCTATTGTCTAGCTAATTGAGAGTGAGAGTGTGTGTGTGAGAGAGAGAGAGAGTCGGCCTCTGCCCACGAATTAGGAGGGTCAGCCCAGCTGACTTCTGCCGCATTAGTGTTGCCATTGCAGGAAGAAACGGTCCAACAATTGTTAAGCATCTCTCTTATCGGTTCCATCAAAGTTCTATTGTAGCGAATGGTTTGGTGTTCGGAAGAGACCGCTAACCTAAGTTCAATCTCTCTTGATATTGATGTTGGGCCTCGTATGGTCCAACCTCGGTTTTTTGGGTACACCTCAATACCCCAAAGTTGTCTCGACACTGCTCATCTAGTCTCATAACTGCTTTCGTGATTTGGTATCGTCTTCAACCGGAAGGCTTCTCAATGGTCCAGCGCAAGATATTGTACTACCATGGACCCGCTAGTCTTCCATGCGATGCACGGTACCACGTGGAAATTGCGCCAATGTTCGGATTTGCCACGTTTTGATATGCATGTTAGTTGCCAAGGAGTCGGGGACGCCTTGTGCCTGTCAATGCAAGGGGGGAGGGGGCCGGGGCGGCCCAGGCGACGCATATGGGAAAATGGTGATCATTCCTTCAATACAGCTCGATCTTTGTGCATGGACTTTTTTGAGCTCTTATCATCAAAAGTACCTGTCAACTTGAGCTCGATTGCACGCTTCTTTATTGACATCCATTAGCCAGCCGGATTCTCAGGTCGCCACCACAATGCCCAGGATGAGCAAGCACGGTTCCACTGATTCGAAAACACCACTCTTGTTTAGGGTGCGCCAGCTGTTGAAATCATTTCTTGTGTGTCGAAGGATTGCTCCCCTGCAACTCATGGTCAACGAAAGAATGCTGGTGAAACGCGTGGTTGACGGATTTTTCTGTCCTGACAAATGTTGAATTTTGTGCCGACCTGTGGCTGGACGATGAGGGACATGATCGAACGCAGATCAGTCTGAGAGAGACTCGGAAAGTTGAGTCAAAGTAGCATTCAACCATGGGTCTCATTGAAGAGGAGAAGAATCCGAAGCCATCTGCTCCAACGTCTTCTGTGAGCTCGAGCGACCGGGAGAGTTTAGACCGCCCAACACGCCTGGAAGCAATCAAAGAATTGCTTCGACTTGGTGGAAATGGAGACTACCGCCCTTTTACGACGACTGCGCCGGTCATGTTGGCCTTCTTGATCACAGTGGTTTTGTGCTTCGTGTTGTTACAGAACATCGTCAACAGTGGAAGCCCGTTAGACTCGCGAGAAAAGCACTCTCCCCAGAAGAGGACAGAGGCTTTCAGTATTGAGGAGCGAGTGGATCTTCAAGACGTCAATGTTTTCTTTGCCTCAAATGAGTTAGAAAATACTGCTGGTGGTTCCGTCGGTATACTGACAAAACATGTATCACGCTCGTCAACACCTGAGGACGGACCCAGGTGCAAGCATCAAGTGGATCTGAGGTACGTTTGGTGGGCATACACCTCAGAGAACAACATCGGTAGCTTCGCTGCGCAAGACCCAATTCTTGACTGTATACCTTACTGCTCGAGAATCAACTGCGGGTCCTTTGCTTTTGATCCTCAGGCCAATTGGTGCGAGTACTACATGAGCTCATTCGATGGAGATGCACCTGGAGCAATTTACGATGCAAATACATTTCCAGACTCGGACGATTTTTTCATTTACGAACCTAATTGTACGATGTCTATCACCGGGCCTTCAATTTCCAGCGTCAGTCTGTCGATAACACCTCCTTCAACTTCATCTGCGAGTTTGCCGTCAAGAACAACTACGACGTCTGTCCTTGACGATTTGACGACGAGAAATGTTTTCTTCACATCAACTTCTATTTCCACCAACTCCGTGACGGCCGCCTACATGTTCCTTCCGGCAACAGAGAGTAGTCAAATCATCTCTCAGAATAGCTCAAGCACTTCGAGTTCTGGTACTAGATCGCTGACATTTCTCTACACCACACTCACTCCACACTTCACCTCACTAAGCCGGACATTGAGCGTTTCGAATACCACTGCAAGCTACATTTCCCTCTCAAGTACCACTGCAAGCCACACTATCCTCTCAAGTACCACTGCAAGCTACATTTCCCTCTCAAGTACCACTGCAAGCCAAACCATCCTCTCAAGTACCATTGCAAGCTACATTACCCTCTCAACAGAGTCAAACAGGGGATATGCAACAACCATTTCCCCGTTGGAGCAGACGACATTAATTGCCACAGTATCGTCACACTCGATGATCATCTCAAATCAAAGCGAGTATGGAGGAAAGTCTACAACAAGTCACCCAGAACAGGAACCACCAGTGTCTTCTCGCACAGCTCTAACGCCGCCAAAAATCACCCCCGACTTAGTGACTAGCGATTCTAGAACTGCATCAACATCCACAGTCATCTCATCAGACGGAGGTGAGACTGTCGCTGTCCCAGAGCATTCGACCAGCGCGACCGTGGCCAGCAGTCCAAACCCTACTTCAAGCACAAGCGCTGTCATAGCTATTATAAGATCGTCGACGATAAAGACTACGACCAGCGGCCAGAATCTAAATTCAAGCTTAAGTGCTGCCATAGTCGTATCAACATCACCGTCAACCTTGACATTTGCCAGCAACTATCGGGACCCTACTCCAGGCACAACAAGTATCTTTTCGGTTCCGGGGACATCCTCACCTCAGGCCACAAGCAGCACTGATGGGGTTTCTACCGAAAGCGCAAGCGCTTCACCGAACATGATAACTTCATCTCCGGTTATAGCAGTCACCTCACAACCATCATCTCTGACAAGCTACAGTGGAGAATCCTCTACCTCTCATATGTCATCACTGAGTGAAGCTCTAACTGATCCTTCTTCCGAGTCATACGGACCAACAAGCTCTGAGGTGATCCAGTCCAGCAGTAGCGTGCATACGACTCCAGTAGAACCAGTTTCTTCTTCCGTCCCAGAACCAGTGACTCCCACTCAAGAGGGTGACACTAATTCGGATGGCGACGATGATAGTGGCCTCGCTGACGATGGCGATAACACTACATCAGATCCCGCAGATTCTGCGAATAACACTGGAGACAACACAGACGGGGGAGATGGCACTGCCGGCAACACTCCAGATACTGCTGCCGGGGATACTACGCCCGCGGATAATCCTCCTTCAGACACCACGACTCCAGACACCACGACTCCAGACACCACGACTCCAGACACCACGACTC